AACGTGTACTGGGCTTGTCCAATTTCATCAAATCATTTCCAAACTGTAGTGATCTAAATTTTTTTGTTATTATTTAAGCGTTTGATTGATTATAAACATGTTTTTTTAAAGTTCGAAAAATAGTTTGAATCGGTAAGAAACTTGTAGTCTCTACACATGCTCCATCTCTTTCTACGTTATTCGACTAAGCTAAGCCCAATTTTGAATATGTTAGATTCATGTATTGGAGAGATGAAAAGCAAGAATGGTTTGAAGAGATGTGAGGTTGGAGCAAAGGAGGAATGAGGAAGCTGCGGAGCCCTGAGATTCATTGCCTGCGGCGACAAAAATCTCCCGGAATATTAATAATTTAATGGTTAAATTAAAGAAGAAAAGGGTTGACGTGACGCTTTATATTAAATGCCCAAATTATTATTTTTAGTAATATTTTTGAAAAAATTGTGTTAGGGTATTATTACAAGGCAAGATTTGAATTTAAACATGTGTTTGATAAGATTATTTTGTAATCTCTATATTTATTAATTTAGTTAAATACCCCCTATAATAAAATTTTTGAAAATAATAAAAACACCTTCATCCACTCATTAAATGCCGGCAATCGGTGGTTGGCTACCGAGAATATGTGGATAGATGGGGTGTTTTTGTTAATTTATGATTTTTTATTATTAAGGGTGTTTTGTTAAATTAACAAATCTAAGAAATTTAAAGATAGTTGAATAAAATAGAATTGAATTTTCAGAATAAGGAACAAAGTATTTTGAGTAGGATAGAGATAAGATAGAGTATAAATAATGCCTCAAACACAGCCCATACTATCTTATGAACAACTCAACAGGATAATGATTTCCCCTGTAGGGTCCTTTTTTAGCAATCCCAATTCTTACTGGATCTGCCCAATTTTGACCCAAGTCTTAGAGCATCTCCAAATGACTCTTTATATGACCCAAACTCTTTATTATAAAGAGTCTATCCATAAAAATAAGAGTCCAACAGACTCTTTATCTTTAAAATAGAAATTAGAGAGTGAGTTTGGCTCTCCACATTTAAAGAGTCAAATTTCACTCTCTATTTTAATTTTAATTAATAAATTACAAGTTTCTATACATTTTATTTATTAATTCTCTCTCCCATTAAGTCTTTTTATTAAAAATAAAGATCATCTTTATTAAATTTAAAGAGTCTATTGGATTTAAAATAAAATTGTGTTATTTATATTTAAAAATTAATGAAAGTGCTCTTTATAATGTTCTTCAAAATAAAAAACACCATTGGAGATGCTCTTAATATGTATCATATACGTAAACAAAAAAAAAAAAAAAAAAAATCAGTCTCCATTAATATAACAGCAATATTGTATTCACAAAGCTGATATTTCAATTAATTGACAATTAATTTGATAATATCACCTTAATTATAAAATAAAAATGATAGATAAGTGCTATAAATTATCAAATTAACTATCACATTACTTGAAATATAACCTTAGAATTCAAATTTTATATGTACAGCGTTATTGTAAAAATAAACGTGATAATTTATAATTAATTTTGTTTTCGATAGAGAAGTGGTTTATGTCGAATATTGGACTATCCGAAAGTCTTGTCCTCCATGATAAAATTTCTCTTCAAATTGATGCCGAGAGGAATTTATTTCTTAATTATGACAGGTTTTGGACCCACCAATTGAAAATAAATGAGGAAACAGTTCAGAATGGTTATAGAGAGTACTGAGTAGACGACATATTCCAAGTGGTTTCATAAATTTTAGATTTTTACCTTTTAAATTAATAAAAAATTATTTAAATCTGAAATGAATCTCACTTATATGTGACCCCGTCTCAGGCCAATTTGGCTTGATTATGGCGTTGTGAGGCGTTGACGCGCTCTACTAGGCTTCAAGGGAAGGCGGTGGCTGAATTGGCTCGGGTCTTTTGTCGAATCCGGAAGTGTGCCAATTCAAGAATTATGATCTTCAATGCCAGAGTCGATTCAAAAACAACACAAAACATGTCGTTAACTCTTATCTTAAAAGTCAATTGTTCACACCATGCAAATATACATTCATAATGACAACTATCCAATTGAGATTCGATCTCATAATGAAAGAGGGTCCCGTGCAAAGTTAATGGTTTGTTTCAAACTTTGTTTCCACCAACTTTTTTTATAATTTTTTTTTTTACAACCTCTATATGAAAATTTATAATTTTTTAGTTTATAATAAATTTCAATTAAGTCCTACCTGATAAATTATGATTGATCAATTATAATTTATAAACTATTATGTCATAATTGTGAAAAAAAAAAAAAAATCAGTGAAAAGAGTATATAGATTATACATTCCTCTTTCACACTAGCAAAAGTAAATCCTATCTCTATACATACCACGTGGGAAAATGGTTACACTGATTAACAAACCAATGGTTGAAAGATCTGTTGATTTGACGGTGTAATGGCTATCGCTTAGTTTTGATTGAATCGAATTAGGAGTCAAATGACATTAATCTCCCTAAAGTACGATTAAAAGAAGTAAAAGTAACACTCACCACAAGACAGGCTGAGAAAAAAATGATAACTGTAGATGCAAAAAATCTACCGTCATGAAAATAGGGTGTGATCCCGTGAGGTTGAGGTCACTGACAATCCGTTAGACCTGCACACATGAAAGGGCAAGCGTGAAGCTTCCGGAAAACACCGAGGTGGTGTTTGCCGTAGGCACTCCGACGCTCAAGTCAGCAAGGCTGAAAGAGATTTAATAAGAATTAAGGAGAAGAAGAATTACCAGGAGTCTTGTCGGAGGCTAGGACTACGGCGGAGGCGTCGGGTTCTTGGGAGCAAGAACTTAGGAGCAAATAGATGGTTTTGAGTGGTGTAGATTGACTGTGAGAGATTGCATGCTTAATGAGAGGGCAAGCCTCTGTTTTTATAGTGAACCTAAGGGGTTGGAATCCTAGTAGGACATTGAGTCCTCTTTTGGGAGATAATCCCTATCATAAAAGAGATATGATTTCTTAACCTTATCAGATTAAGTTTAATAGTTTAAATAAGAGTTGGAATCTTAGTAGGACACTAAGTCCTATTTTGGGAGATAATCCCTATCATGAAAGAGATATGATTTCTTGACCTTATCAGATCAAGTTTAATAGTTTAAATAAGAGTTGGAATCTTAGTAGGACACTAAGTCCTATTTTGGGAGATAATCCCTATCATGAAAGAGATATGATTTCTTGACCTTATCAGATCAAGTTTAATAGTTTGAGTAAGATTTGAAATCTTAGTAGAAGAGGAAATAGAATGAGATTCTGATTTCCTATTTATACTCTGTTGCAGGCTAATGGGCTGAAACTCAGTTTAGCTTAACTTATAGGATAGCCCGACTCATAGAGTGGGTAGGTCGCAAGGTGATTTTAAGCTTGGGCCCAATCGTGATTGGGTTGAGGCCTTGGGCCGTGACATGTTTATTTCGTTATTGGGCCCCGTAAAGCCCAAGACGATTTTTGGCCCTAACAATAATTATACATGTTAAAAGTCAATTGTTCACACTAAGCAAATGTACATTCATAATGACAAATACCGGATTGAGATTTCATCTCAAATGAAAAGTTAATGCTTTCTTTCAAACTTTGTCTTCACACAACCAAAAATTAATCTTATCATCGAAAATACATATATATATAATTTCTTTTCATACAAATTTGAGTTTACCCGACCTGCCCGACTGGTTGAACTGATTCAATCAAGACCCGGCCAGGCACCGGGTCGGGTGAGCCTTATAACCGGCAGACTTACTCTTCCTAGGTTCACCCGTGGTTGGACCGGGGTACTGTATCACCCGACGGTCCAACCGGTAGCTTTACAACAAACCGGATCATTGCCAAATTGCATTATTACAAAATTTAAAGAATAAAAATATTAAATTTAATAAATTATTAACTAAAGAGTATCCTCATATCAACATTTCCCCCCATTTTGGCATTTCATGCGACTTCCCTCCTCTTTCGTCTGAACTCTGAACTTTTCACATCCACTAGAGTGTCTCCCCTTCACCAGTTCACCGTTGAATCTGGTCGCATTAGCCTTCACTGTCAATTATATAGCTCATCGTTAGTTGGGGTTCCGCAAATCTCCTCCCATTTCGCGATCTGTTCTCAGTCCTTTCTTCACTCTTCTTCACCGTCGATCTGCTCTATTCTTCCAATCTAGAAGCTACACCATCGTTGTCATCTTCTTCTTGCTCAGGAACTGACGAATTGTGGCCAGTCCCGATCTCTTCTTTTCTTCTGCAGTTCTGCTCTGTTCACTTGTTCAGTGTTCAACTGTTCATCCGTCACAGTCGAGCTCCACCTCTCCAACGATCAACGCCAGCTCGTCTTCACCAACACTAGGTATTGATTTGTATTTTCATTTGTTAAATGTTAATGTGATGGCTTGGTCTCTGTTCCAACTATGTTTATCATTAGTGTTACTGTTATTATTGTTTTTCATTTTTAGTTTTTGACTACAATGTTTATATTGCCGTTTGTAATGTTTATCAAGTTTTTGATTTGTTAGTTAACACTTAACAGTCATTGATTTGGATACTTTTTTATTAATGTGTTCAGACTTCAGAGTTAAATTTGAGTAATTAGATTGGTTCAATTTTGTTTCCTTGGCTACTTTGATATGATTTCTGTCGTGGCTTGATTCATTAGAGTTTTTTAACGGTTTCATTTATAGCTTATTGAGCTTGAGTTACTGATTGAATCTTTAAAGTTTTACCTGTTAGTGTAGTGGGTCATTGATAAAAACTCATGCAGTGTGATTATAATGATCATGGAACTCTTATCTTCAGCTAGATTCTCACACATGTTAAAGGATATTTACTACCATTTCAAGTAATGAAATGAGTTCATTTTACATGTGGTGATGGTCAGGTGAAATAGTCTGCTTACTTTGTAACAGATCATCCATCCTTATTTGTTATTTGTGTCACCAGGGTAGAGAACAAGATTAAAGGCAGAGAATATGTCATCATCTGGGTCTTGTCAACAATCTGCATCCATGGATGTTTCACAAACTTTTCGAGGAAGAAATGATATAGCATGGGCACATGTTAATAAAGGCGTGGATGAAAATAGGAAAAAGATATTAACATGTCTTTACTGTGGCAAGATAATCAGAGGTGGAGGAATTTATCGAGTTAAATTGCATCTAGCAGGTGTAAAGGGAGAAGTCGGAAAGTGCCCTAAAGTTCCTTTTGATGTTAAATTCAAGATTGGAGAAGCACTAAATGAAATTGGGGTCAAGAATAAACAAAAAGTTGAATTTCGTAAGAATGCCAACACTTATGGAGCTAGTGTACAACAATTTGAGGATGATATGGTAGATGAAGATCAAGAGTGTGAAGAGGTTTCTCCATGTCTAGCTCCAGCTCCAACTCCAGCTCCAACTTCAACTGTAAGCAATAAAAGAAAAAAATCTATTGGGATAGGTGACTATTTTGCTTCAAGGACTAAGGCTGGGTGTCAGTCCTTAATTAAGAGTGTTTTAGCCGGAAAAGAAGCTAAGTGGAGAGTGGACATGGCTGTTGCAAGGTTATTTTATGATTCTTGCATCCTAACTAATGTTATTAATTCAATTTATTTCCAGCCTATGGCGGATGCTACAGCTGCAATTGGTCCTGAGTATAAAATCCCAACTTACCATAATTTGCGTGTGAATTTATTGAGAGATGCGAAGAAAGAAGTGCAATTACTTGTTGATAGTTACAAGAAAACTTGGGAGAATGTTGAATGTACTTTAATGGCTGATGGTTGGACAAATAATTCACATAGGTTGCTGATTAATTTTCTAGTGTACTGTCCTAAAGGAGTGTGTTTTGTGAAATCAGTGGATGCTTCAGATGTTGTAAAGGATGCTGCAACATTGTTTGGCTTGTTTGAGGAAATAGCTTTATGGGTTGGACCAAACAATATTGTCTATCTTGTCACTGACAATGGAGCAAACTATAAAGCTGCTGGAAGAATGTTGTTTGAAAAATATAGCAGTATTACTTGGTCTCCTTGTGCAGTACATTGCATTAATTTGATGTTGAAAGACATAGCTGAGATGAGTCATATAGTCAACCTTTCGACATGTGCATCTAAGGTTACAAAGTTTGTGTATAATCATTCCTTTGTGCTAGCTTTGCTGAGGAAAAAACAGGTTATATACCTTTACTTCATATGTTTATAATTTACATTGTCAAGACATATTATATATGTACACTTTTTAATAATTTACCAAGTACTAACATTTATTGTCTATCACTTGAATAGGGTTGGATAGAAATTATACGCCCAAGTGCAACCCGTTTTGCCACAACTTTCATTGCATTAAGCAGTCTATATTAGCACAAACATGACTTGCAATCTACAGTGACAGATAGAACTTTTGTGGAGTGCCGATATGCAAAAACTAATAAAGGCAAAGCCTTTATTTCTATAGTTCTAGATAACCAGTTCTGGGATGACATTGGTATAGTTTCCAAAGTTGTGAGTCCATTGATGCGTATGCTCCGGATTGTAGACTCAAATGAGAGGCCTTCAATAGGATATGTGTATGATAGCATGTACAGAACGAGGACGAGAATCAAGAAACTGTTTAAGAACAAGAAAAATTTGTACAAGCCTTATACAACAATTATCAAGATGCGTTGGGATAGGATGTTGCGCCATGATATTCATGTAGCAACATATTATTTGAATCCTGCTTTTAAATATGACAAGGATACTTTTTCCAAAAAACCTGAGATCATGTATGGTTTTCTTGACACTAGTGACAATAAAGCAAGTGCATTCAAAATTAGTAAGACAACGTTACTGGAGGAGAGTAGATTATATCGAGATCGTCTAAAAAGCTATTCTCGTGAGCTTGCTCTTCAAACTTGCAAAACTACACGACCAGGTATGTAATAGTTATTAACTTTTTAAGTCTAATTTTTAAGTTATGAAATTGTGTTTATTTCTTATGTAATTTATATTTTTATTCTCAATTAGATGAATGGTGGAGGACATTTGGGTTTAGTACTCCAAATTTGCAAAAGTTTGCAATCAAAATTCTAAGTCAAACTTTGGCCTCTTCCAGATGTGAGCAAAATTGGAGTGTTTTTTAACGCATACATACTAAAAAGAGGAACAGATTAGAGCATCCATGGTTGAATGATTTGGTTTTCACTCATTATAACTTGCGTTTGCAAAATAGGTATAAATCTTCTTCATTTTGTTATTTTTATTGATGTCTTTATTGGTCATGATTTGAATATTTAATTTTGCTATTTCAGGAGTTGTTACAAGAAAATTACATATGATCCTATTGATTATGAGAGTATTGATAAAACTGAATGGTGGATAGTTGATGAGGAAGAGGAGGTTGGTGAACTTAATTATGATGAATTGGAACAATCATTATATAGAGAAGGAGCTATTCCTATAGATGGTGGTGAATCTGGTGATCACCCTTCTTATTATGACTCAACCGATGCTTCAGAAGGTTATTTACAATTTTTTAAGCAATTTCAATTTGATATTAGCTAGTTTATATTCAATTAGTTTAAATGGGAAGATTTAATTTATGGTTTTCCTTTTTTGCTAGAATTTTTTGTAGATGATGTCGCCGATGTTAATAATGATGACGATCATCCATCAGGTGGTGTATGAATTGTCAATTTTAATTGAGGATGGAATGATGGATTGATTGATTGAAGACCATTTGGTAAAGATCAATTTTTGTTAGAATGTTGAAATGTTGAGTTGTTGACTTGAAAGTTGAAAACTTGAAACAACTATTATGTTATTTTTCTTCATTCATTTTGTTATTTTGACTTGTATTATTGATATAATGATGTTTGATGATGTTTTGCTATGTATTTTTTATTTTGGAGTTTATGATTTGGACTTTAGAGTAAAATTTGGAAAAGAAATGCATTATGTGAACAGTATTTTGATCATGCTGATGTCATTAAATTACTGTTCACCAGTATGATAAAAGTTGGGAGAGATTATTTCATTGTAACCTCATCAACTTTTAAAATATTAGATTGTGATAGATCAACGGCCATAAATTTGTATAAAAAGATTCTGTCCCATATTTAAATATAATAGTATTTATTTTATTTATCTTTAATAATTATATTAAACTTATTGAGATCTTAGTTTTGTATTTTAATTGATGTACGGTAAATTGTTATGATCCGCAATTCCGCATACTGAATAAAAATGAGTTAAGGTTTATAATTAAAAAACTAGATATTGTATGATTGGATATGTTAGCTAATTGGTCAAAATAGTGTCTTGATGAATAGTAAATCTCACTTAACTTGGTTAATATTTTTAAATAATTGAAAGTTTTTTTATTTGAGACAATATCACAATATGATGGTAAGTGATTTCGATCTCAGTAATATTATATTCACAAATCTTTTTTATAATTTTTTTTTATAAATACGATATATTAATTTATAATTGATTAATATATGATAAATTTTATCTGTTGAATTATAAATTAATTAATTATAAAATATTAAGCCAAAGTTATAAAAAAAAATTGGTAAAAAAGTGTTAACCTACTTAAATATAATATTTTAATTTTTCTTTGCTTGCAGGTGAAGAGAAAAATAAAAAACGTGTGGATCTGGACCAGCACCAACGCCCAAGAAAAATCTAAACCCAACCACCACCATCCCTTCATGGCTTTTTTGGCTGACAAAGGTTTGAGAAAACAATAATTTTATACTTATAAAACAAAGTAATAAAAAATAAATAAATGAGTGAAATAAAAGATTAAACTTATTAAATTTATTATTTTATTTATTTTTTGATACATTACTTATATAAATATCTTTATAAAATTTATTTATAACTGAAATATTAGGGTAAAGAAAAACAAGGAAACTGCAAAGAAATAACCACCAACTAAAGTCGTCGCAAATCTCGAAGCGCCCTTCTTCTGTAAGACGAAACTTCCACGTGGTCCAACTCAAACTCCTGTCTGGGCCCCAACGCCGATGTCGTTTATTCTATCAGTCGTATGCTGAACCACCATTGCAGCTTGTCTCTCTCGACCTTTCTACTTGCTTCTTTTTCTTTCTGACTGCTACCTTAGAACTCTCTCTGCCTCGTATCAAACTCTCAAACTCGCGAGCTTTATGTGACACCTATTAGGAAAGACAGCTGTTTGACAGGTGGAGCGATTATACTGTTCGTAAATTAATCAGGCGAGTAATATGAGTGTACCTAACTTTGTTACTTCTTACTTTAACGCTTACTTCGGTTACAGAACTCATGCTGGATTGGTTAACTCTTTTGGCTTTATATAGTTACTTGGTCTTAGTGAGAAAATCCATCGTCAAGAATATCGATAACTTATTACAATCTCTTTAGTGATCACTACTGCTACTTCTCTTTGCTCATCTGTCTTTGATCGCCTTCTTACTGAAGGATTGCTCAAATTTCATCGCTCAAAAACTTACATATTGATTCAATAGGCTCATTTGTAAGGAAAGAGATGGAAGAGATATCCATTGGATCTGATCCTAATTTTTGTTTTCAAGTAAGTATTTGTTTACTCATTCATGTTAAATCGATTTCAATCTCCACTTGTCCACAAAATTTCATCTCTCTCATGTCTCTGTAATGTAATTTACTAATGTATGCAGGTGGGAAAGTTGAAAATAAGTGAGGGAATGGATTGTTTAAAAGATTTAGTAAAACGGTACAAGGACAACTTGACCCCAGAAAGTGCTGGAAGGGTTCAAGAAATCATGGCATATCTTCAATCCCTTCAACGACAAGTAGTCCAGGTAACCTTACATACTTACGTTGTATGGTACGTCATTATTAATAACTGGATCTTCTTATCATCACAATAAAACGTCTCTGCATTTCATATTACAGAAACAAGTTTATCTGAATTTTGGAAAGAAAAATTGGGTCTTGTGGTTTTGGTTGTCTATTCAAGTACATTTCTTTCAAATATTAGCATTTGGGTCCTCAGATTGGGCTAAAATTCTTCAGATCTGAAGTTTCACACAAGTGTTCTTACCTGTTCTACATAAAAATTCAAAACAATATTCCCCTAGTCATATCTATTAATCACGGGCTTTGAGTACAATTGTACAGAACTGACCGAGGATGGTCCAAGGACAACTTAGGCCTGGAAAGAAAATTTCAGTATTGTTTTATATCCTAATCCATGTGCTACATACTAAATGACTTTATTATTTAAAATAATATATAATAATGTAAATTATTTTTACTGTGTTTACACTTACAATAGTGTATTTCCTTTGTAAAATCTCATTTATTAGTATTGAAAAAAAAATTAGAATAGAGAAAATTTAATAGAAGGGAATGAAATATGCTTCTCCGTTTCTTTCATTTTTTCATTTTTAGAGTATTTCAGTGAGAAAAATATTTTATTATATTTTAACTAACACTTAAATAGAAAATAATTTAGAATATTCTATTGGGAAAAGATTTTACTTTCAAGAATAGTTATGATTACGTATTCCAAAAAATAAGAGTAAATATTTAGTTGAATGATGTTAAATAGCCTTCTTTAAAAGTAATTTATTATATTTTTTTAATTCAAGAAAATATTTAAATTACATTAATGAAGTGGTTAAGGGGATTTTATAGTAATGGGACTTTAATTAGCTCATGAGAAAAAAGACTTCCATGTTTATTTTTTACAGTTAATACTCTGCTTGTCCAATCCAAAATGACATAGTTTCTTTCTATTTTTCCTTGAAAATATGTGAAGGAGATTGAATCTTTAGCACAACTGGGAGAAGTACCTGTATCTTCCAATGTCAATGGAATGGATTTGCAACATGGACAGGTTCCTTTTCTCTCTCTTTAAATTAAATGTATGAAAGAAATTAAAGTCAGATAAATCTTATGTAATTTGTTTAGTTTTAGTATAATTATGTGTTTCAGTAATCCTTGGAATACTTGGTTGCCTTGAATATGTTTTCAAAGATTCAATGTCACTTATTAAGCTCAGTTTTATTTTCCTTTTATTGCTTATTATAAGGTGATTGAGATGCTTGTATATTACTAGGAAATCCCTCCAACAAGAGAACAAAATGCCTATTTTGGACCTACTCCAAATCAAGAGATTGAAATTGTGATGATTCCAAATATAGAGAATACGCCAAGTACTAAAAAAAGAAAGTTGAAATCGAAGGTTTGGGAGGACTTCATAAAGTATGAAAAAGATGGCAAGGAATGGGCTAAATGTAAACACTGTAAGAAAGACTTTGTTGGCTCAAGTAAGAGTGGAACCACACATCTCAACAATCATTTAAAAAGTTGCCGAGGTTTGAGAAATCCAGTTGGAGTTGTAAATAAAGAAAAGGAGAAAAGTGTGATAGATCCAAAATCAAATGTTTCTGATTTGGTGCTAAAAATTATGAAGTATGGCCTAAACAGCATAAAGGATGATATACTTAATGTTTACGAACAAGAGAAGGATAAGCTTCAAGGGTATTTCCATAAACTCTCATGTCGTTTTAATGTAACAATTGAGAACGTTTTAGGCTTATGGTTCCTAACAAGCTGGTTTATCGATGATAGTTGGGAATTGAGAAGGATGGTTATTTTGTTGGGAGGAAGGGAAGGTGACGATGAAGATGAATTTGAGGCATATCAAATCTATGAAAGAGTGAAGTCTTGCCTTGAGGATTGGAACATAGACAAAAAAGTATGCTCTATGGTAGGAGATGTAGTATTTAATGCTGAATGTGAGAAAGTCGAGGATATTAACAACTGGTTCAATGAACGATGTTCATTTCCTTTCGTTGGGAATTTTTGGTCAATTTTTTATTTTGGAGGTGGATTCTTTTGGAATTTCTCTAAGGCTTCGAGAAGATTTGAGCGAAGTTATATTTCAGCTAAAGCATTGAAGATTTGGGACTACGTCAGGATGTCATCAAATGTAAATAAGTTCGTAAGTGTTCCTTCATATGGGCAGTTCGACTACGATATGCTTGAGTGGGTAATGGGATGTAAAGAAGCATTTTGTGAACTGGAGCAAACAGATCATCATTTCAAGTCTATAAATTTTATAAAAAAGGATTGGGACGAGGCAACTTTGATGTACAATGGTTGGAAAGTGTTGAAAGAATTGAGAAAAGATTTTGACAACTTGGTAGATGCTGCATATAAAACCGCAAATGTGTATTTCCCAATGATTTGTAACATTTTTTTGAGATTGGTTCAGTTGGGAAAAAGTGATAATCATTACATTCTTTGCGTTGCATCAGTGTTTCGAAAAGATTTTGAGAAATTTTGGAACAATTCTAATTTGGTTTTAGTTATTACAGTCATTTTGGATCCACGATTTAAAATGGATATTGTAAAACATTTTTACAAAGAGATTTATGGTAATGATTCAAATACATACCTTAAGAAAATCATTGATGAAGTCACAAATATTTACAAGAAATATGCAGGGAGCACTAACAATGGTATTGCTACATCAGAATTAGAATTCTACCAAGATTCTAAATGTCCTCCAGGTGAAGCGTTTAATATACTAGAATGGTGGCGTGTCAAATCTCCAATTTATCAACACTAGTTAAGATTGCACGTGATGTCTTATCAATAACTCTCAATATTCCTATGCGTGATTTAGGGAAGTCATTGTTTTCTGAAGTAGATAATTCATTGTTTTCTGAAGTTGAACACATTATTGGTGAACTTGATGCTGACTTCAAACGAGCTTTGGGATGTAAAAATATTTGGTTGAATTTACCTGTAATAAAATAATCAAGTTGTTAAAATAAATAATATGTTCTCATTTTATTTTCCATTTACTTAATTTTGTTGTTCTTTTAATATGGTAACCATTGAGCTAAAATTAAAACAAGGGGTCAACGTATTTATATAAAAATAAATGAAAAATATTAAACTGCTCAAATTTTCATCTTTTAACTCATTTCTTTTTATATCTTTTAATCTTTATAATTGAAATTTTCATCCTAAGTCATATTATATTCTAACATTATCATTTGATCTCATATAGTGGTATACAAAGGAGAAAAACCTATATAAAGACTATCAATTGAAAACAATTATCTAAAAATTTAACACTATTAAGAGAAAAAAAAATAGCTACAGAAGAAAGCAAATAGAGTTATTATATGAATTGAATCCCATTAATTTTCTAACTAGTCTTGTTATAAAATATTTTCACATTAATTTCAAAATTATTCTTGGTAATGGAAATTTTCTCTCTTTTTTTTTTTTTTTTTCTAATTCACTTACAAAGTACAGTACTTCAAAATCACAAAAGAGATGGAGGCACTGCAAGAGCAAGTGGTAGAGTAAGGAATTCAATTGAGAAAAGGCAAGATCAAACAATGGTATCATTTAAAATTTTCAACTCCAAGATGTATATAATATACATTTAAAATAATATATCAACACTCTTTTATTTAAAAAAAAAAAAGTCAATTCACAATGAAATTTAAAATTTTAAGAGTTTTACTTCACATAAATTTTATCATTTTAACATAGAATTAAAAAGATTAATGTTTGATTGAATAATAAATATAGCTAAAACTGAAAATAATGTTAAAATCGGTGTGTATAATCTAACGATTGAATAATAATAATAAATCTTTCTAAAATTAGTAATAATACTTCCAAATACCACAGTCATGAGTGAGCCGGCAACATTGCTGGTTTTATACTGAAGTTATACAAAATTCCCAAATTCTCAAATTTAAGTTGATCTACGAAAATTAATTAAATTTGATTATATATGATGTAAGATAAGGACTTATATTAAATGGATCCAACCAACTCATGTTGTAAAGAAAACCCCAACAATGGGAAGGACCCATAATAAAGTAAATTGTAAGCCCAAAATAAACCTAACCCAGCCTAGTAACTAAAAGGTAACTAAAGAGTCAAACTCTCCCACAAACTCCTAGGTGGCAAATTAAAAGTAAAATACTAGGAGTTACCACCGAAGGTTGTAAAACACAATTTGTGAAATTAGATTGTAAGTGTAATATAATCCTTAAATTATAAGTGGTTAGATAGTATAAAAGACTAAAGTAAAAAAAATCGATTTGTTATATCATGATCTATAAGAAACTATACATTTTTTTGTTTTTTTAGATTAATATATTTGAAAACACTTTTTACAAATTATGATGATGCTCATTTTATATGTTTAATTTTTTGAATTTAGGTGGTACAAATTAAATGTATGCATGATCCACAATGAGTTTATGTTATTATTCAATTTTCATGGAGTACATGTTTAAATGCAAATGGTTACCTTAATCATGCAGAGTTTTCCTCGTAACATCATTATACATTAATACGACATCTTATGATTCGTTGATTGTATACGTAATCAAATATATGGCATATGTGTTACATTTTGTAATTAGTTGATTATATAATTAAATTTTTCTCTCAATTTTTTTGATTAAACTAAAAAATACACATTCCTTTTCAAAATATCATCAAAATCTCAAAAATATTTCTTTTTTAAAATTCTTTTTGAATATTGAAAAAAATGAATTTAAACCTGTATTTTTGAGTTATTGTTAGGGAAATTAATGGTGGTTTTATATAATAACGAAATTTATCCATTATTTTGGACAGTGACGGATTCAGGATTTTGTCGAGGGGGGCCTCGACAGCTTCGCCATTATTTGTCAAATAACTAGTAAAAACTTTAAAAAATATCAAACCTTAAGAAAATGAAATAATACAATATCAAGAATCTGAAAAGAAATAATACAATAACATAATACTTTTCTATTTGAATAAATCTATAAGAAGCAAAATTTTGAGTAAATGTGTTGAGTAAACCTTAAGCAAATCCATCTTTTTTTTTTTTTTTTTTGGGGGGGGGGGGGGGGGGGGGCGGCGGCTTCGAAAGATTATAATATAAATTTTCATAACTTTAATCAGACTTAAGCTTAAGCTAAAGTCAACCAAAACTTAAATCAAGTCGTTGACTTTCAATATAAATTAATAAAAAAATAGGAAATTTTCTTGGTATAAACATAGATAGTAACTTAAATTTCTTTAATAATTTTGAGCAACTAAACAGTGACGTTTGAAATGTAGGAAAATTGTGGGTGAAGGGTGAAGAATAACTTTTTTTAAAATATAGTTAAGGTTTAATTTGGGAAAGTAAGAACATTCTTAGACACAAAACACAAAATAAACTTACAAGATCTAAGCCTTTTTCACTCAAATTATAATAAAAATCTTCAAAAAACAAGTATGATTCAACTCTAAAATAAATTAAATTGAAATGAGCAATATACATACTTAAAACTGATAAAACAGAAAACGGAGTTAATTGTGGTACCTTAAATTGGGAAAACTTCAACAATTTAGTTTTCAAAAGCTTTAAGAGCGAATAACATGAGAAAAAGAATGAGAGAGTAAAGAATTTTGGAGATAAAATTATAAAAAAACATGTGGAGTTGTGGAGAAGAAGAGTTGAAAGAGTTTTAAACTTTTAATATGATTTGAGCTTGAAATATATATATATATATATATAGCAAGTTTTTTGTGAGCCTAAATATATGTATAATAGTTTTATTTTTCAAAAAATTTGAAGGTAGGCTGTAGTATATATATTAATAGTATTTATTTGTGGGCCTATATAATAGTATTTTTTTTTAAATATGCTGGATCTGCCCCTGATTTTGGAGTAAAAATAGAAAAATATATGTGAAAAAAAAAAAAAATTTCCTTGTGAAGAGTTAGGAATTCAGGGGAAGGGGCAAATTAAAAAAATAATATACTTTAAATTTTTTTAATAATGATATATATTGGAACTTTAATATATGAGAGCAACCTGGAATCGAATCAAATCAGTTGATCCAACTTTTCATCTGAATAGGTTTAGATAAACTGTTGGGGGCTGACGTAGTCCATGCCGGATTAATCATATTCTGGGCAAAAACAATAAACCTATTTGAAGTGGGTCATTTTTCAGTAGAAAAGCCCATGTATGAACAAGAATTAATTTTATTTCCTACCTAACTATTTTAGATTGGGGGGTAGGTCCTTGTTGGGACGTTAGCCCAAAATGTAAAAATCCTCAGTCATTTTTTAAAAGGTAAAAATACCCTTGGAAGTACGCAATTCAAAGGTGTATATATTGTACTCTGATAAGAACAATGTTCATACAAATGAGACTTAATTGTGCAAATATTGTTTGAGCAATTGTTTAATCAAAATTTAAGTCCAATTTCTCTTGGCTGGTAATGTCAAATACGTGTCAAAAGAAAATTCCATATTAAATATCGATATTTTCTGTGTCAGATTCAAATGGTTCAATTGAAGTCTTATATTTTAAAACAAGTTTTATATTAAATAATAAAAATTTGATCACTTCTTGTTGACTTCTTTCCTTCATTTGCAAACAGAGCAAGAACAAATAAGCACTAACAGACCATAATTGCTATATATTCACTGAAAGGTCACTCAGTTTTTCTCATTCAAAAGCTTACCTACTAAATTAATTAGGCTCATTTGTAAGGCAAGAAATGGAAGCATTCTATCCGTGACAATATCACAACATATATAATATAAGCACTTTTAATAATAATAAAAAAAAAATTATTTCATTTTTGTAGGGGGATCATTGACTACACTTAAGCATTAGAGAAAATAAGTTGAAATTAGGAAATTGGGGGGAAAATGAGTAAGGGAAAAACCTACATAAGTTTGAAATTGGGAAAAATAAACCTAATTAGGTTTAGAAGGTAGGTTATTTTCAGTATTAAACGGGGTTTGAAGAGATTTTTTTTTTTTTTTTTTTTAATTATAGAAGAGGCGTACTTAGCTATTGGGGGTAAAGATGAATTAGATGGGACCTAAAAATCACTTCCCTTGATACAAAATTAAAGTTTTAAATTTTAAAATTGAAATAAAGTTTGTATTCAAGACAAAATCTAGAACACGCCGAGAACAAATGAATCAATGAATCAAGAACAAATGAACATCAAGAGCACATATTTTTATCTGTCACTTAATTACTTTTGTTCATTCATGTTACCATATGTATAAATCAATATATTCGTAAGATAATATCACAAATATATAGCTAGCTTCCCTTGGTTTGTGATTTCATAACATACTTGTATATTGTACCAGCTGATGAATGCTTGGAAGCACACTCATACTTAGTGATTTTAAAGGTATTTTGTGAGGGAATTAGGTTTAATTGGTTAATTTTACGTAATTTCTGTATCTCTTTTGTTTTCTAGAATCACCGGTATGTTTTGTGAATTTTCAGGTATTTAGGTGCTAAAAAATGAGGATTTCAAGCATGGACATTAAAGAGGAAAGAATCATAATCGTGTTAGAATAAACAATTCGAGAATCGAAACTTAAATGAAGAAGTTATGAATTTTTGAAGATTGTTTGCGATGCTTGATTTTTGTGTCATGCTATGAGTGAACATGCTTCACTAAAATGGGTGTAACTTTGGCTACAAAACTTCGATTGACCTGATTCTAGCGTTTCAAAGATAAAAGATAGATATATAATGTTTATGTTTCAGTTGTGATCCAGTTCAATCTAGAAGATGGATAAAAATTGATCTGAAAGTTACATCAGTGCATAGAAGACAAGAAGACGCGGGTTCTGGAACATGCCTCAGTGTTGCTACAATAACTTGAGCTAAAGACCTCAGATTTGGATGATTCTTAGACCATTCGAAATATGATTCAAATAGATACAATTAATATGCTATGGCTTCATTAGATTCAGAAGTTTTCAT